AACCCGATCTAAACCAGTTTATCGAGCCTAACATAGGATCTGATCCTCATAGATTCCCACCTACCAATTCTCTTAACCAACTCATCCCCAAGGCCCAACCGTGCAGCTTCTGTAGCTGCAGCTTCTAAAGGAATGAGTCCCAAAGTGAACTGGATCCAAACCAAACTGTCCCAACATTCTCTCCTAACGGAATCTATCTCCAAGCCAAAAAAACTCAAACACATCGTGGGACCCACTGTCTTGTCACCTGCCAAAGGTACCCCAAAAACATGCGCCATCCATTCCAACGTCCTCAATCCAATTCGACAAGCTTCCGAACTGGAAGGGCCGATGCACAGGAAATCATCCAGATAGTGGATCACAAATTTTGTTGCTGCCTCGACCCTGACCACTCACTCCAAAAAGGTGCTACATTTTTCAAAATAGGCGAGGGAAATAGAACACCCCACGGGCAAACAGAGATCTACAAAATACTTGCCCTCAAAATAACAGCCCAACAAATGATGACACTTAGGCTGAATCGAAGGAGACGAAATGCCGATTCCACATCTGCCTTGGCCAACAAAGCACTGCGGCCTGCCCGCCGAACCAAATCAACACCCTGATCAAACGACGCATATGATACTGAACAAAAGGCCTTATCAATATCATCATTTACGGACGATCCCTTTGGGTAAGAAAGATGGTGTATCAACCTGCACTTACCAGGTTCCTTCTTCGGCACCACAACCAGAGGTGAAATCCTAAAATGAAGGAGCGGGTGTTCCGCAAAAGGTCCCACCATCCTGCCCAATTGGATCTATTTGAACAATTCTTCACTCACTACCCCCAGAAATTCCCCAACCGATTGTAAATTATAAAGACGAGGAACCACCACCCTCTCACGAAACAGGATAACAAAACCACTAGTAAAACCATCCTTCATTAATGATGCATCTACCTGATTACCGTAGCTGTTTAGCCATGGCAACATCGCGCCAACCTTCACCGGCGTTAATTCCACTGGCAGCGGATGGGACCGCACCTCCCGAGGAACCCCCTGCAGCCGCAGACTTACCTCTCTTGAAACACAGATGAAGTCCATGGGTTCCTCCACAACCCGAGCATTCATGCTTAAACCAACATGTGGCCTCCCACTTGCACTGCCCTTAATAGAAGAGCCAGCAAAAACCTTTTCTGTGGCTGGCCGACGAGGTGGAGGAACATCCCGTACTGGTCCCTTAATGAAAGAGGGAGACCTTATGTGTCATTATTAGCTTAATCCAGAGCAGTAGATCCATCTGATCCCACTGCATTCCTGGATTGGCAGACAATTGCTGACGAAACTGTTCGTCATAACGCCACTACGCGAGACCCCCATAAGTGCAGTATGCCTCCCAAATACCGTCAAGGTAGCAAAATAACTGGGAACAACAATCCAGAGACTTCTCCCCCAATCACGCTAGCTAGAATACAAAAGACCCTTAACCAAATTGCCAGACGTCTTAGGAATCTTATGGTACAGGTGCTTCTTTTCCTCCTCCTCCTTCTTAGTATCCTCGTTATCATCCTCTTTCAGATCTATATACTCCTCCAGAGGGAGAAGGGCATAGATCTCCACAAACTCCCCATTCCAAATACGTTCCTTCACTTCGGGCTTAAGATGACAGCCCAAAGGTCCCGCAAAGGAAACGTGTACGTTCTGACAAGCCGCATCCAGATTACCCCCCAGCAAATTCGTCCACTCACTTCCTAAAACAGTTGATGCCAAAACAGCCGATGTTGCCACCCTCTCCCCCGTGCACCCTCCTGCAACAGGGACCCCAACTGCACTTGACCCTAAACCTACCACCCTTGGCACCCAAACCTTACTAAAATTCACATCCTTACCCTTACCCTCACTCCAAGAATCTAAGAAAGTTGATAAACTGTCTAATAGATCCCCTGAACGAGGTATTGAAACTGACTCACCCTCTGAACCCCTTGTTGCTGAAGGCCGTGGGGGCGTCAACCGAGATCCGCTGTCCCGACCCAAGCGCTCCGGTGAACCTGAACCGTGGGCGACCATCTTCGCGACCTTACAGCGCTTGATCTCACCCGATCCATGGGCGACCTTCTTGGCGACCTGTAAGGAGAAGAAATCCTGGGTAGGCTGGCCGTAGTATCCCTGACCTGCTTTACTCCTGAGGGGGGCCCGTGGCTTAATCCCCCACTGACGTCCTGACCCCTAGGGCCGTAGGCATGCGAAGAAGCCCCTGCACCGCCCCTCTCTGGAGAACTCCTGCTAGTAGTACTCAATCCTCCCCTGTGCATATCCTGACAGGGACACCATGCCATTGCTGTCCCTCCCCTGATGATAACTGCTCCTAGACCAATACCTATCAGCATCCCTATGGAACCTGACATTTCCCTCCTGAGTGCAGCGTGGAACGCCCACCATGAAGAAAGACCCCCCCGAGCTGTCCCTTGGCGTCATCCCTGTAATCGTATTCCCTGTTGCTTGCCTCCCGACTCACCCCATGGTGCCCTAACGTTATCCTGGGAAGTGACACCCTACGCTCCCGTAACCTGTCAGGGGAGATTATGGAGAGTCGTCTATTAGTGGCAAGAGGGGACCCAGCTGCCATTTGTCTGGCCGTATGCCTACCATCTGCCACCCTACTGCTGTCAACCAGACCTGTACTGGGACCCACTTAAGGGGAAATCCTAGGGCTAACAAAAGTGGGAACAAAGGTGTTGGGAGCCGACTCACTGGGCTGATGAACAGCTGATGTCTCAACTCGTCCACTCAAAGCAGCACTTCCAGTGTTACCAAATCCAGCTGAAAAGTCTGCCGTTCGTCCTGCCTCATTCCTGCTGTTCACTGTGCGATTAGGTCTCCTTCCCAAATGTTGCAGCCCTCCTGCAGAACGGCCAGCTGCATCTGAAACAATATAATCATAGAAACATAGAATGTGACGGCAGATAAGAACCATTCGGCCCATTTAGTCTGCCCAATTTTCTAAATACTTTCTTTAGTCCCTAGCCTTATCTTATAGTTAGGATAGCCTTATGCCTATCCCACGCATGCTTAAACTCCTTTACTGTGTTAACCTCTACCACTTCAGCTGGAAGGCTATTCCATGCATCCACTACCCTCTCAGTAAAGTAATACTTCCTGATATTATTTTTAAACCATTGTCCCTCTAATTTAAGACTATGTCCTCTTGTTGTGGTAGTTTTTCTTCTTTTAAATATAAAAATCTGTCATCTGTCGAACACTCATCCGCATAAGAAAGGATGCATTCGCGAACCGAACGCTCGGAAGTTTCCATAACTCCACGTTTGCAAACCGAACATTTGGCAGTTTCCATACCTCTACGTTTGCAAACCGAACATTCGGCAGTTTCCATACCTCTACGTTTGCGAACTGAATGTGCTGTCACATGGGAATCCTCCTGTTCGCGGCCTGACCGTTCAGATGGAGCCTCATTCCTGTTGCCGCGACGGGAATGTGTGGCCGCACGCCAATGCCTCCCACGACCTCCTCCACTCTCCATTTGCCGCCGACATCCTCACGACACTGCCAGGGTCTCCAGATGGGCTCCTCCGCCACCTCGTACCCGGCACCGTGCTGGGGCTCTGTCTCTGAGGGGGCCTGGTTCTCCGAGCAGGCCTCCACTCTGGGGACGTGGGAGATCCTGAAGGCAAAGCATCACCCAAACGGCCCTGCAGCCACTTGACGCCCCTCTCATGCACCGCTACCCTGACTCCTGCTAGCCAATCTTCCATCCTGAGTGAGAAAACCTGCAGAGGAGACAAAAGGAAAAAACACTACACAAGCCTGTCACAACAACAGGTAAGTGCAGCTTAATTTAAATGGCCCCTTAACCTAAAATGGCCCCTTTATATATGACCTGGTAACCACACCCACAATGCTATTTTGTACCAATCACATACACCCAGTTCACTTCATGCCTGTCTCCTAGCAATGTCAAGGCCCACTCCCCTTAGCTACGCTGGTACATGGGCTACATTCCAGCTTCTGTGTAACTTTTCCGACTGTTTAGCACCATATTTCTTTAGTGGTCATATTACCTCTAGATGAACTGACTACATTTTGTCATTACAATCAAGTTCAATGAGACGTAGAGCACATCCCATCTACAAACTTGACTTTATTGACAGGAGAGACTTGCATGTTTATTCAAGAAACTCTGAAATGTAGAAAATTCAAATGCTAATTGCAACATCTTGGCTAAAATGTCAAGCTATAAGAGAGGTGGATTTTTATTTTTTATTTTTTTTATAAATTAGCTATTGTAGCCTAAATTTTGCAATTCTGATTTCAATTTGCTACAATCCAGAATTGAGTGAATAGTCATCTTATATTCTTTATAGCACATTATAAAAGGCACTGTTTTGACAGTGCATCAATCCTGGTTCAATTCTGATTCTGCCATTGTAAGCCCTTTTATAGCACTAGTAGTGTATGCCATTCTGAGGATATAGTCTCCATAGTGTCATCTGGGTGTCACTTTACTCATATGATTTTGCACAGGAAAAATTATGCTGACAAATAGGCTTTCATTAAAACTAAGAATACAGGCACTATTCATGAATCCTGACCTCAGTGGGTTAAATCAGCGTTCATTGCCGAGTCTTTATATTTAGTGTGGTTTAGGTCCTTTGGCTCAGATGTCCTTGGTTACAGGCATTCAAGTATAAGCAATTAAATACTGGTTTGATTACATGTACATTCTTGCATGAAACATGTTAGGTCTGTTGGGTCGAAACAGTCTGCAGAAAGCTATTTTTGTAACTTGGAACTGTGATGTTTAGTAAAATGTGTTGATGTTCCTGATGTCTTGTACAAAAGTCAATTATTTCTGTATAACCAAGTACTCATTTTATTAATACATATACAACAAGTTCCTCATATTGCTGCGTTATTGCACAGTGTTTCTTCAGCCACCATTTCAAATCCCTCGAGCATTTCACCAACTGCGAATAGGCAGAAACAGGAAGTGGGGAACCAACAGAAAGGAAGTGCATCATTCACAGCCACCAAAGCTCAACCACCCATACATTACAATATGCAAACTCATACACTCATACACTTACACATAGCCCAACAGTCCTAACATTGCATCTTCTTCCCTTCTTAATAAAAGAAAGAAAAAAAAATAGTAAAAGGTCTACAATATTAAATGAACAAGTTAAATACTTTTTCTTCACCTGTATCATTTTTTCCATCATCTTCCAGGTCCACCATCTACTTCTCAGTATACCTTATTCTACTCCTGCTAGGATACTTATCCGTGTGGCCACACAAAAAAGAAAGAATATGAGGAACTGGAAAAAAAAATTCGCAGTACAAAATAGAAAAAATAAAGGCAGCACAAATAGTTGCTGTGTGCACAAAACAGGGTGCTACTGTCATTTATTTAAAGGACACATAACAACTTATTCGGGGTAATCCCTTTTGTCAATCCTACGATGCTATTAAGGCTTTCTCACAGTAGAGTTTCTCTGACTATAGTTCCTTTAGTCCCTAAGCAAGTATTTCCCTCAGCATAGAGTCCTTGGTTGTCTCCTTTTCAATTACTTTAGCTGTTATCACCTCACTAAAATATATTGTAGATCTTTCTGCAGTAGTTAATTGTGAATCCATTTTCAAAGGAAGCGTAGAGAAGGCATCTGATTAGCTTGCACGGCATTTGGACTATATTGTATCTGATACTGATAGGCCCCCAGAGTAAAGACATACCTGTGAACAGGGCCACCATCAGGGGGTGACAACCATGACGGTTGTCACAGGCTCGTAGGTCCTAGGGGTCCGGGCTGCACTGGTAATCCTCTGCGAGCCTGGGCCCCCCGCCCTCCAATGTGCATACATATATAGCGAGTACCGCACTGCTGGCTTCCAAGAGGGGCCCAGGAAAACACTGCCCTCCTCCTCCAGCACTCTTGCGACCTATAGCTGTAAAGCGCTGCCGTGGGTTGCCATGACAACTCTCCGTGGCACACAATGCATACCGAGCTTGCGACAGAAGTAGAGGCCAGAGGGGGAAGATGGAGACTGCAGGGCCCCTAAATGCTGGCTCAATTGAGCCACTGTGCCAGTGTCCCCCCTCCCTGGCTACAGGTAAGAGGCAGGGAGGGAGGAATACATTTAAAAAAAATGAATATTAATAAAGAATGAACAGCAAAAAAAATACCTCCCAGTAGCATTTTTCGAACATAAAGACACATCCACTATACACACACGCATCATTAAACACACATCACCCACTACACAAACACGCATACAGCATCCACCACAGAAACACATAAACTGCATCCAATACACAAACACACAAACACAGTATCCACCACATAAACACACAAACTGCATCCACTACACAAACACACAAACAGCATCCACCCCATAAACACCATGATCATTGAAACTCCATGAGGTGAGATCTTGCATGGAGCACCAGACTGAGGGAGACTGACAGTTATTTTGTGTTTCTTCCATTTGTGAATAATCCCACCAACTGTTGTCACCTTCTCACCAAGCTGCTTGGCGATGGTCTTGTAGCCCATTCCAGCCTTGTGTATGTCTACAATCTTGTCCCTGACCTCCTTGGACAGCTCTTTGGTCTTGGCCATGGTGGAGAGTTTGGAATCTGATTGATTGATTGATTGCTTCTGTGGACAGGTGTCTTTTATACAGGTAACAAGCTGAGATTAGGAGCACTCCCTTTAAGAGAGTGCTTCTAATCTCAGCTCATTACCTGTATAAAAGACAGCTGGGAGCCAGAAACCTTGCTGATTGATAGGGGACCAAATACTTATTTTACTCATTGACATGCAAATCAATTTATAACTTTTTTGACAAGCGTTTTTCTGGATTTTTTTTTGTTTGTTTGTTATTCTGTATCTCACTGTTAAAATACACCTACCATTAAAATTATAGACTGATCATTTCTTGGTCAGTGGACAAACGTTCAAAATCAGCAGGGGATCAAATACTTTTTATCCCTCACTGTATGTCAAGTACTATATGTAAGTGTAGTGACATAGCCTGATCTCTGAATAGAAAGGCAGTAACCAAGAATATTTAAATAGCAAAGATGAACAGGACTGAGCTAAATACCATATACTGGTAAAAACCAAAAGAGGTAAAGAGCTACAGAGAAGAGTAAATAATGATAAACTTTACTGTAGACAGGATAAAAGAAAACAACTATATACATAATATATATAAGCCACCAACAAAAAGATAAACGGCAATCTATTTATTAAACAAAAACAAATTAACAATAATTAGGAGGAAATAATGAGGAAACAACGTGCATCAAAACAGGTAGAATGGACTGATCAGTCTAGAGATTAAAAGTTGTGTTTACCCTCTAGCCCGCCACATCCCTCCCCCTACCTTCTATACTATTTACCTACCTCACATTGAGTCCAACCACCCTTAGCAGATGTGTGAATATACGTTATTTTAGTCTTATTAAGCCTCTATTCTGTTCTTTTTAATCTGTAGACTGCTTAGCCCATTCTATCTGCCATTGAGACAGTTTTTTCATCTGAGCAGATGGACACTATTTGGACAACTTTATGACTGGTTTTATTTACATGGCACCCTGGACCTCCAGGCATCCTAACAATTTAAGTGAGATTACGTATGGAGCCAGAATGTTCCTTTAGTATATATGGGGGCCAATAACCACAATAAACTATTTCCAATGTATAATGAGCTACCATTATGATGAATTAATTTCACAGGCAAAATGGAAAAGAAAGCAAATGAATAAAGAGAGATAAAATATGTAAGTAGGGGATAGTAGTGAGTTGTAGTATGCTAACAGTGTAGATGTCTTTTAAAAAGTAAAGTTGTTATTTCATTTTGCATCTGAAAAAAACTATAGTTACTTTTTAACCACTGTGCACACACTTTATCCACAAATCTCCTCTACCCTGATTTAAACTTTGATAAATAGTACCTAGAGTTTGCTGTACTTTAAACAAATGATTGTCAACAGTTAGCCCACACAAAGCATTTACCATGGAAAATGTGGAAACATCTCCTCATTTTTGTAAAATATTCTGGATTATGCGTTAAATCTTCTACATCACTGACATATTACTTTAAAATATCAGCTGTTAATAAACATAATTAGTACATTCAGAAGTGGTAAATACAGATATACTTTTATCTTCCTATCTTTAACATTGCTGTTTTTAAAGGGACACTCCAAGCACCATAGCCACTGTAGTGGTGATGGTGCCAGAAGTGCAGACTTGCCCTGCATGCTATCAGTAGTCAAACTTTAACAACACTGTGGATAAACAAATCCCACAGCCAAGAATAGCTGTTTTACCCTTAAAGGAACACTATAGTCACCTAAATTACTTTAGCTAAATAAAGCAGTTTTAGTGTATAGATCATTCCCCTGCAATTTCACTGCTCAATTCACTGTCATTTAGGAGTTAAATCACTTTGTTTCTGTTTATGCAGCCCTAGCCACACCTCCCCTGGCTATGATTGACAGAGCCTGCATGAAAAAAAAAACTGGTTTCACTTTCAAACAGATGTAATTTACCTTAAATAATTGTATCTCAATCTCTAAATTGAACTTTAATCACATACAGGAGGCTCTTGCAGGGTCTAGCAAGCTATTAACATAGCAGGGGATAAGAAAATCTTAATTAAACAGAACTTTCAATAAAGAAAGCTTAAATAGGGCTCTCTTTACAGGAAGTGTTTATGGAAGGCTGTGCAAGTCACATGCAGGGAGGTGTGACTAGGGTTCATAAACAAAGGGATTTAACTCCTAAAGGGCAGAGGATTGAACAGTGAGGTTGCAGGGGCATGTTCTATATACCAAAACAGCTTCATTAAGCTAAAGTTGTTCAGGTGACTATAGTGTCCCTTTAGACTGTACAGTGTAATATAACATGGGTAGATTTGATCCATTTTGTTTTGTCTGCTGTATGTATCAGATGTTATATGTATGCAGCAAGAGTCACCAACAGGGCAATTCAGTAAAGTGAGAATTAAAAGTGAATTTCATATTTAAGGGGCCATGGTGAAAGCATTGTTTGGGTATATTTACCTTGACTTTGAAACTCACTTTGGATTCCAGATTTAGTAATTAACTCTGTCAGTGTTTACAATAAATCTAGAAGCTAGTGAATCAATTTGTTAAAAGGATTCAATGAACAATGCTTTTATGGTCTGGAGTTCCAAATAACCAAAAGGCAACACAAGTAAATTATGTTTTTATTTAGAATAAGCCATCTAATATGATGTATTTTATTTGGATATTAAATTATTAAAATCCATATATCCCATAAACTTTAACTGTGACTTATATAGGTAACTAATTTGAAATGTTTATCTAAAAAATATTAAATTGTGGCTGTAATGATTGGATTTCTTTCTTTCTTTGAAAACCAAAGAACACATGTAACTTTAGACCATGTGTAAATCCAAAAGGTATTTATGAAATAACATTACACAAAATAGAAGAAATACAGAAATCTGTAAGGTGGTAGGTAGAAACAACATTGAAGAAGGATGATTTGCAGTCAATAATGCCAAAACCTTATACTTTCGCTCATTGCAGCAGTAGGATTGAGTTCCACTAGATTTTATATAGATATGTACTAATATAGCTCCCTTAATATGTTTTGATATAAGTAAATATTTTTCTTGTTTCTTCAGCTTATGATTGAGTTTGTAAAGTGAAAGGAACTATGCTGGTAGGTCTGCATGGGCCACTGAAATGATGAAGGCAAGGTTATAATTTGACATAATTTATGTTTGAACTTCAAATACTTCCACACATGTTGTAGCAAGACGTACACTTCATTAAAAGCCTTCAAGTGATGATTGCATATCAACCAGAGACAGTTATCTGAAGCCTTTATAGATGGGATATTCTAATTTAGAAGGAGGCACTGCTATTTAATAGTGAGCTATTTAAGGAGAACTCCACTGCCCACATAGTAAAGAAGAGGAAAAACACTATTTAGTAGATTCACTCTAGTATACTGAGGGTATAACTTAAAAGTGCTTGCAAAGGCTGCAGGTCATAGTAACAGGTTCTCATTGAGAAGCTTCTGACTTGATGTTCAGGTGCACATGCATACCATCGCGCACAGGGTTGTGCACGCATGCACGCATCGATTCATGCATGCACAGTTGCATATGCACTTTCTAGCTAGTGCACGCGCCCTCACATCTAATCTAAGGTCTGGAGCTGAGGAGCTGGTCTGAGGTCTGTAAGTGAGGGGGAGGCAGGTACGCTCGAGTAAAGTGTGTCTGCCACTTCATTAGCTCAGGGGAGCTAATATAAGGAGGTAGCAATCCTCTCTGATTGTTTGATTGACAGCCAGGGGGGAGTTTCCTAGATAATGGGGTTAAATTAGGATACTCCTCACCTATAAAGCATTTTTCATATATTGAAAAAAAAATGAGAGAAATTAGAGAATGTATTTCTAAAGTATGGTTCTATGACGACAGAACCAACATTGCTAGGGTAAAATGAACAATAGATTACAATCAACATAAAATTGATACATAGTATTTGTATTGGTTACCCCTTACAGTATGCTATTCCCAATGTAGCCCAATCATGTAGTAGCAGCTAATGAGATAGACTTAAAAAAACGGTTGTCTCACTATTATGGCTTTATTAGTCTGTGATGCCTTTGTGAGCCCGTCTACTGAAAATTAAACAAACTAATTTCTCTACTAAAATCATTGGATTATCTTTATTGTATATAGGTTTTAGACAATGTTCTGCATTTTTCTTAGTATACTTGCTAAATTCAAATGTAAGAATAATTATAATTAAACAAAATAACTAATAGTCACACATTGTGATCTAAATATACTGGGCAAAAGTGCATGGCAGATCCTGGGCTGGTGCACTCTGTGCAATGCGCCCATGCACCAGGGAGCCAGGGGTAGACTGACCACTTGGGAACATTGGTTATGGCAGGGAGTGGTCCGAAGCAACTTCAGAAGATCTCCCTGAGTGGCCCAGCATCAAATAAGTCAGCAATGTTTGCTCAAGTAAGACTCGATGGAAGCTCTCCTTGACTAGTCTCTTTTTCAGTGCCCAAGTGGGAGTGTGGTGTGTTGGATAAGTGGAGGGGATTGGGAATGACATCACACTCCCATCTCTCTCTTACACAAATGTAGAGCACTCCCACCTCATGTGTGAAGCTGCCTGAAGGAGGAAAAGCAAGGGCTGTGATTAATACAGTGGCAATGTGGCAGACTGCTCAGGGGAGGATGGAGTCAACAGGTTTAAGTGGAAGGTAAGATGGGGCAGAGATAAACATGTATGCTCAGGAAGGAGGAAGATGATAAATGGAATTGGGGAGATGAGGAAAGACACAAGAAAAAGGTGACTAAAATATCAGTGGGCTTAAAGACTCAAGTAAAGGGAGATGGAGAGAGATATGTGAGTAGAGAGACTCAGATATAACCCTGTATACACAGCACCTACTTACAATAAAGATAATCCAATGATTTTAGTAGAGATATGAGTTTTGATTAATAGGTTTTAATAGGTGGGCTCACAAAAGCATCACAGACTATTAAAGCCATAATAGTGAGACATATTTCAAGTTTCTATCATTAGTCGCTACTATATGATTGGACTACATTGGAAATAGCATACTGTAAGGGCTAACCAATACATATACTTTGTTTTTATTTTATGTTGTGTGTATCTACTGTTCAATTTACACTAGCAAATTTGGACTCTAGGATTAAATATTTTTATCATGGTTAAGCCCTGTGTCAGGCGTACTGCTGGCTAGGCTATAGTGATCTAAATAGATTTAAATTCACTAAGTGTTTTTCTCTCAAGTGAGAGAATGGCAATGTGGCTTTTTAAAAAGGATGAAGCCATGAAGTCATGAAGCTCCCCTTACTAAGATCTCTAAAACAATTACCTTATTTGACATATAATGACAAAAAAACACAATATTTTAAGCTAAATATGAGAATAAAATCTCAAATATGAAGGTAAACACGAGAACAAAGTCTCAAAGATGGTCCAATCTATGAGAAGAACAAGTCTGTCCAGGCATTCAGAAACAGCTGATGCTCACATTTGCCTTCTGATTTAAAAAAAAGATATATCAAGATACTTTATTGATATGGGAGGAATAAATTGATATAAATTAAGTGTACTTGTCTTGCACAGAAAATGTGCAACTCTCTTCGTGGATGGTCCTACCCTAATTGAATTGACAGATGAACCTGCTGGAGTCATGATGTGCAACAACATATATATTCCTGAAACCTTTACCAATATGCCCTGCACTGCACAATGGAGCATTTACAACAATCTGTGCAGACACAGACTCCATTTAATGTGACTCCAAAAACATCCAGGGACATCATACATGCATACATGTTATAGTTTGTCAACCTCAGATTCTACTACTATAGTACTATGCAAATACACAAACCAAGGCACTTAATCCTAATTAATTCCACAGAAGAATGGTATGGGGCCCACAATCCCTGCTAGTGGCCCAGAATGCTGCTCTAATGCACAGCAGTAGAAGTAGATAGTGAAATAGTAAAGCATTTAAATAAGAGAAAATGAAATGTATTTCATATCTGATCTATTAGAAATATAGTATAGCAAATACTATTTCTTTTGTCAACTTTTTACAATTGCAGAGTAGATATTTTCCTGATTTCAATGCTGCATATAAAAATAGTAGAAAATCAATTTAAATATAATTAAATTTTAATTTATCTATAATTAAAGCTTAATGGTTGCATGGGAAAAACCTTAATCAATTCAGTGTTTTCTGCTTTATTTTGCATGAATTTGTTGGGCGGATTCAAATTCCTCCTTGCAAAGATAAATTGTAAAATTGCAACACCCCCATTCAAGGCTATGTTTAAATTTCAGGGTCCAGAGGTTGTTTGGATAATAATTGATTGCGTCTGCCAGTTCTATAGCTGACCAATCAGTAACAAGTATTTACTTTTTTTACTGGCTCCTCTTGCATTTAAGTTACAATCCTCCCTCATCTTCAAATTTCTTCTAACATGGGGACAAACAATATTGTCTTTCTTCTGCTATTTTTGCCATGCATAGGTAAGCTATCATTTTACTTTGATTATCAATGTCTTCAGATACGTTAACTTTTGCATATTTTGAACATGCTGATTTGGTTGTTCTAAAGCAATTTACAAGTTAGACAGTGATACTGAGCTGTCATAGTAAGATTGTGCCTATACCCCCATCATTGACACATTGAGCTCTTTTAGATTCCCCTCTTAAATGGAATGCACTTATTCAACATTATTTTATGAGGATTTCTGTATTTACTTTGATAATTTGAAATAACCTCAGATGTAATAGTAACTTGATAAATTAAAAATAAAAATAAAAAACTGGCATAGGAATCTGTCAGTAGTTAATTACATTTGTCTCTAAAGAAATTGGCGCATGCTTTGCTGAGCAATACAGTTTTTTTATTCCACTGGATCCAAGACAAGGTTTCAAATGAATGTCCCTTCCCGCTAATTGCTGCATTGGACTATTTTGGATTAATTCTGTGGATACTAAGAAATATTACAGTCTGCTTTGTGAACAATGTCTACAAAACAGCAAAAGCTAAAACTTGGAAATATCTGAATGTCAAAATACCAGTTTGGAAATATTCTAAAAGAAATAAGCATTTTGTGATCTGAACACGCAGATCAATCAATCAATCAATTAGCCTGCTAACTGGATGCATAACACTTATTAAAGGAAATGGAGGCACTCTTGCTTTCTTCTGAAGATAGAAATAAAATCAAGCAGGGTACTAAAGTCCTATTACCCAGAGAGGCATAGAAGAGTAAGGCTTTTATCTTATCTGTCAAATGTTTTTTATTGAATATTTTCAAAGTTAATATAATACAACGTTTCCAAAAGAAAAAAAAATATGTGTCCTAGTATACATTATAACAAATATTAACTGGGGAAAATGAACAGTATATTTATCAGGTTTTACAAAGAACAGTATATATTTACAATAAAGTCTTGGGGGGGGAAGGGAACAGATATCTTCAAATATCATAAGTTGAATTTGACATTTCAATTCTTTATATTTGGTCAGGTGAGACAATGCCTACATAGTATAGTCTTCTGACCTTTCTTTCCCACTCTTCCCATTCATGGCCTAAGTTAATATTTTTTTCAGATGTTATTCTTAATGATAATTCGTATCTCTAATTATTTTAGTTTTACATTGGAAATGGGTGATTTCCATTGTCTAGGGATAGCCATGGTGGCTGCTATTCATATATGTTCTAATATTATTCATTTTGGTTTATGTAGGTTGTTTGGGTGTTTTTTGAAAAAGGCAACGTATATGGGTTAAGTCAATTATTGATTCATCTAAGAATTTGATCAGAGAATATAGATTTCCAACAATTTCTCAATTTAGGGCAAGAGATAAAGATCCTACTCCAACATTTGTTAGTGTGAGAATTTTCATTTGAATAACTTATATGGAGGTACCACCTGTGGAGAATTTTAAAATGAGATTCTAAATGAGAAGCACATTGAGAAATACCTTTTAAGGACATTTCTATATTTGACCATTATGTTGTTTCTAACTCTTTTCCCAGTTCATTTTCCCACTTGATCATCGAATCTAATTTTACATTTCCTCTATCATTAAGTAATTCATAACAGGTGGAAATTGATTAGGATCTGCCCCTTATTTTATAATAGCTCCTACCCACTGACCAGGGAGTGCAAAGTTATGTCTCATAAGTGCCCCCCCTCCCCATGTTTATTTTATGAAAGAGCCCCCAGCCACTGGAAATAAGTTGAGTAAGGGAAGTGGAAATTGCCATTGCAGTCAGGATTGTCATTTTAACATATTTTGTCCATGCTGACAATATCAAGTGTTTAGTGCAGTGGTAGTCAACCTTTTTCTACCTACCGCCCACTAATGCATCTTTCTTGATGGAAAAATTTCCTTACCGTCCACCAGTTTTCGCGCAAGTGCATAATATTTTTTAGAAAGGAGGGTGTTTTAAAAAAAATAAATGTACGTACATTTATCTTTTTAGTTCTACTTAATGCTTTTAACTTTATAAAGTTTAATGAGAAAACAATAAAGTAAATTGAAATTACCTTTACTTGTGATTAATGAGATCCTTGAGGTTGATGCTGCAAAACTAAATATTTGATATCTGGTTCGATTTTCGTAAGGAACAAACGAAGGTCTCCTCTTTTGGTGATATTCAGACGACTTCTTTGTTTGCTCATATGATTTCTCATCTGTGCGTCAGCTCCCCTCCTCTCCCTCCTCAATTCCCCTCCCCACCTTTTTTTCCCTTTTTTCTATTTTTTAACCTTCCTTATTGCAATGCCCAGTAGGAAGGCTGAGCTAGGTATCCCACTTCCTATTACTTACTATAGCCCACTATAACAGACAGACACACATACATACAGACACACACACACAAGACATACATACACACATACAGACACACACACATGACACACACACACGACACACATGCACACATACAAAGACACATTCATACAAACAGACATGCACACATACATACATACAGACACCCAGACAGGCACACATACACACATACATACACACACACACACATACACACACACACAAGACACATAAATACAAACAGACACACACATACAGACACACACATACAAAGACACACACATAAGACATACATACAAAGACACATACACACATACAGACAGACACAAGACACACATACATACAAAGACACATACACACACAACACATACATACAAAGACAAGACACACATACATACATACACACATATATACATAAGACACACACACACAAGACATACATACAAAGATGCATACATAAGACACACATACATACAAAGACACATACACACATACAGACACATACAGACACACACAAGACATACATACAAAGACACACACATACAAAGACACATACAAAGACACACACACAAGACATACATACAAAGAAACACACACACAAACAAACACACACAAAATATTTTAGTCACCCTCCTATTTCCTACCTTTTAGGTGCAGGAGTGTGACATTCCCTGGGGTCCAGTGTGGCTCAGGTGGATGGGAGACAGAGTTCCCACTCTGACTCCCTCTGCTTCCTCCCGCGCCGTCTGTGTGTTAGCTGGGAGGAGTGACGTGCAGTCACTTCCTCCCAGCTCTGTGATGTAATCACGGGGGGCCCAGTCGCGCTGACCGGGCCCCCTTACAATCCACATCCATCGGGTGGCCCTGACAGCATGGGCCACCCGATGGACCCCTTGGATGGCGGCCCAGGCGGTTTGCCGTGTGGGCCGGGGCCGCAAATGGTGATGGCGGTACCCGGTCGCATGGGTACTGCTGGCTCGCACCCGCCCGCCCGCCCAATCTCTCAAAATGAGGAAATCCCTACCGCCCACCTGGAATCCTGAAACACCCACTAGTGGGCGGTAGGGACCAGGTTGACGACCCATGGTTTAGTGAATAACCTTGTATACTTTAAAGATAATATTAATGCATTATGTTAATATCTACGTTTGGCTGGGTTCTAAAAAAAACATTGTACCTTATATAATTTGCATCTTAGAAAGGATTCCAGCAGAAACTATTGTGCATTATTGAGTAGATGGCAAACGTTAGTTGAAGTATTTCTATTTTTCCTAATTGGCTATTTTGGCCCAAATATATATTTTTTTTTTTACATCAAATCAGTGTTCAGTGAAAATGGAACTTGGGGAAAGTAACAAATGCAAAGTAACAAATGCTTAAGGTATCAGTAATGGCATAACATGTTCCTCATAACACAAATGTGCAAATGAATTCAATAGCATTTCAAATGCTAACTGTGATATGACTCTAGCTCCCTCATGAGGCAAAGTACAAACCTGACCAAATGATACTTGAATGCTGACAGTTTTAGATACTAGGTGGTTTATTTACAAAACACTGAATTGAGTAAATTGAAAACTGAACTGTCAAATTACATAACTGTGATGGATTTTTTTCCAAACTTAACTTTTTGTGGGCTTAGAGCCCATCATTATGGTTTACGTTTGGGCACATCTATACAGAAAATGGTGAAAATAAACTTCTGAGTAATGTCAGTGGCAGCAGAGGGAACATACTTTTAAAATCAGTGCCGTGGATTTGGGTACTGACCTGTTGTACCATAACCACTGCAGTAATCACTGCCCTACAGTAATTTGAATTGGCTATATCACATAGAGTGTCTATCTAAGAATGACATAGAGTCAGGCATATTTCTGTCCACTGACCATTCATGCTGCATTTCCTCTGACTTCTGGTTTCTATGGTTGGCCAGATGTGCTTTATGCATGTTTTAATTAGCGAGTCCTGGATTTTAGTAAATCTTGATGTTTATTTTGACATGATGATGTTACAAAAGGATATTGGCGTGCCAAAAATGTAATATCTGTGTGACATTCTTGCTATTAGATAAGTTCAAATGTTGTTTTATCAGCCATATTAAGGGCAAAATAGCAATAGGTAACCAATGCCAGTAAAGGGTTAGTTGAAAAAGGCACAGGCAAAATTGTGGGTCCTGAGGAAACATTAAACATCAATGAGGCTCTGCTATAAGTCCTTATTGTGTTTGGAGAAAGCTATAATAGCTAGAGTAGAAAAAGGATCTGGTAAATACAAAAAAAGCTTTTAAATATAAAATAGAATATCAGTGTCTACATTTTGATGATGTGTGTACACAACAATGAATTTAAGCCATAAGGAAAGGGAAGAATGGCAATATTGTAGGTA